CAGCACCTTCAGTCGTAGACTGCGACCACCGAGGTGTTCCACAGAATGCCACAGGAAGTCCTTCCTCCTTGTGGCTATCAAACTTTTCAACTCCTCCCCCTTGCTACACATAGGACAATAACATTAATCCTATACTACAATAAACACTTTAATGTTTCTGTCTGTACCTGTTTTTGAACTTAATAGTTGGCATTTTTACATTCTCTGGTTTTATTTGTTGTTTTTTTTTATCTTGTGTGATTCTTGTGTATGTTCCTTTGTACTGAAACTCTGGCACAACAATTTCCTGTGGGATCAATGAAGTTCTATTTTATCTTATCTCTTATCTTCTTGTTTGCTCATGTGATGGACAGATTAACAGATGAAGCCAGGCAGGAATGTCTGTGGACTGTGATGTTTGCAGATGACGTGATCTGCGGCAAAGACAGGGTGGAAGAGAATTTGGAGAGGTGGAAGTATGCACTTGAAGGAAGATGAATGAAAATCAGCCATAGTAAGACATAGTACATGTGTGTGAATGAGAGGGAGGAGGTGGAACAGTGAGGCTACAAGGAGCAGAGGTCACAAAGGTGCAGGACTTCAAGGACTTGGGAGTCCTCTGTCCAGGAAAATGGGGAGTGTGGTAAAGAAGTGAAAAAGAGAGTTCATGCAGGATGGAGTTGATGGATAAAAGTTTCAGGAGTTATTTGTGACAAAAGGGTGTCAGCAAAGGTCAAAGTAAAAGTTTACAATACAGTGGTGAGACCAGCTACTGTATGTTGTATGGTCTGGAGACAGAGACATGGACAAAAAGACAGGAGACAGAACTGGAAGTGGCAGAAATTAAGATGTTGAGGTTCTCCTTAGGAGTGACAAGGATGGATACGATTAGGAATGAGATCATCAGAGGTACAGCACAGGTTGAACAACTGGGAGATAAAGTTAGAGAGACCAGACTGAGATGGTTTGGACATGTCCAGAGAAGGGACAGTGGTTTGGACATGTCCAGAGAAGGGACAGTCAGCATATTTGTAGAAGGATGTTAGAAATGCAGCTGCCAGGAAAAAGACAAAGAGGAGATATATGGATACAGTTAGAGAGGACATGGAGGTAGTCGGAGTGAGGACAGAGGACGCAGAGGAAAGAGTGGGATGGAGGAAGATGACTCGCTGTGGCAACCCCTGAAGAAGGAAAAGCTAGAAGAAGATGACGATGAGGATTGAGCAATCCAAAGTAGTTTAACTGATAAATTTGTTCTGGTGTGATAGTAGCTTATGTATTATTAATATTTTCAATCCTTTATTTTACCAAAATAAACTATTTCATATTAAAATTCTCATATACAAGAGTATGATGGCCAAAACTGGCAACAAAACACAATGTTTCACAGAACAAACCTTAATGATATTGTAATAAAATAAACCATAACATATCTACCTTAAAACTGGAGAGACCAAAGCATATCTATTCACATCAGACGAAACATGTAATAAAAAAAAAACCTTAATAACAATATCATGCAAAATTTAAATAAAATAAATAGTTATAAGAATATTTTAAAATAGGGTGCATCTGTATATGGCTAAAATACAAATATACATATAATTTAAAACACTTACAGCCTGATATCTGTTTCTCAAAAACATTTAAAATACCCTGAATTACATTGATTAAAACTAGCTCCTTCATTTTTAGACTAGACTGAAGTTGATTCCAGGTCAACAAGGCAGCTAAGATGTATCCTTCATAATATTTGTTGATGGCTAACATCTATCAAAATCACCCAATATCGCATGAGATACAAGGTCGTTTACAAAGCTTGACCCAATTCATCTGCAGCTCTGTCTCTTTTCATCAAAAAAATGGTTTTGGTGTAAAATTATGGCATAAAAGTTGGTGGGTGATATGCATTCATTCAAGTAATGTAAATTTATTTTACAGCTTCAGTAACAGTTATCATTGTGTCTCATTGTATTCATTCTTTAAAAATGTTTAAATCACATCAGGACCATAAAAGCAACAGAGTGGTAGAAACAGTTGATCGTTAAAAACTTCTCATTTTCACTCCAATGGCACTGAATAAAGCCTGATTTGTATGACTATTACCCAGTGCATTTTGTCCTCTGTGAATGTAAAACCCCAGGCTCCAAAGGGGCACATGAAAAATGTATTCAATCCATGATGCTGCAGGTGAGGAACTGAAATGTTGCTGATTGATCTACAGCAGGGTGACAGCACCTGCCCACAGAGCATTTTATGACATGATTTATTGGGACATAAAGGAAAAGATGGTGTGTTTCAATTGAACATCTCTGCATTTTTTAAAAGCTCTCTCTCGAAGAGACGCAACCACAGACCACCGAGTTCCCCCAGCTCACATGTATGGAGCAAGGAAAAATACTGTATAAGGTACATAAATAGTTCTTAAAGTGGATACTGTGGACATTTTCTTTAACAAAAATAGTGAATGACTCATCTGCTACCAACAATTAGCATTGCTTATCATCTGTAGTAGTGGCAACCATCTTTAATTACGCTAACTCCAGAAATTAGTAAGTTGTAGATGCACATCCAATGAAAACCTTCCAAAAGTTTTAGTAAAGTAGGTGGTTCATGAGATATTTTGTTAACAGTAAAAAGGGGATATGCTTTAACAATTTATATTTTATGCAGAAGTTGCATCATTTTTATAGATTAGCATCCTGGTGCACGCTAAATTTTCCAGGTGAATCTAACAAGGTTGAGTTCATTAGATAGATTTTTTTTTTGTTGAAATGTTTCGTCTTTTATCCAAAAAACGTATTCAGTCTAAGGAGATGCTAACAAACTGAAGGGCCCGACACACTCCATCCAAAGCCGAACAGTTAACTTGCGGTCACACGGTGTCAGGAAATTTGTTTTCGCACTCACTTTTCATAGTCCACAACATAGACATATATAAATAGACGCCTCGTTGAGCGGGGTGGCCTGTTGCAGCGGTACGTCAGAGTGACCACCATATTGGATGAGGCAAATCTGCTGGTCAACTAATAAAGGAAATGGGCTGAACTTCATAAAGCACCATTCTACAAAGTGTTTAAAGTTAATGCCTGTCATTCACACACACTAATATATTTGGAAGACAACATTTGTAACTTTTAACATGATTAATAAAAATGTTTACTCCATAGAAAAGAAAATCTTAGACTGTACCTTTTAAAATTATGTTTTAAAAAAAATTAAATACCTTGACATTTGGGTAACTCGAGGTCATAAGAATCTCTACAAAACTAATTATCTACCTCTCATAGAGAACCTTAAGCAGGACAGTGCTAGATGGCAATTCCTACCTCGCATTCTGTGGGGAAGAATAATTATTGTAAAAATTATATTTTACATACATTTCTGCATTTGTTTCATGACCTGCCAATTGTCCTTACTAAATCATTCTTCACCAATCTGAACAGCCAGCTATCAGCGTTTATTTGGAATAAAAAACTCCCATGGATTGCCAGTAAGATCTTGCATCTGCCCCCACATTAAAATCGTTACTAGAACTGTCTTCTTCCACCTGCGTAATATCACTAAAATTAGAAACATCTGATCTAAAAATGATGCAGAAAAACCGGTTCATGCATTTGTCACATCTAGACTGGACTATTGCAATGGTTTATTATCTGGGTGTCCAAATACTTCTTTAAAACGTCTTCAGTTGATCCAAAATGCTGCTGCCAGAGTCTTAACTGGAGTTAATAGGAGAGATCATATTTCTCCAGTTTTAGCTTCTGTCCATTGGCTCCCTGTCAAATCCAGAATATAATTCAAAATCTTATTTATAACCTACAAAGCTCTCAACAACCTAGCTCCATCTTATATTACAGATCTTATTCACCCATATTTTCCAAACAGAGCACTTTGATCTCAGACTGCAGGTTTACTTGTGGTTCCTAGTTTCCAAAAGCAGAATGGGAGGCAGATTTTTCAGTTATCAGGCTCCTCTCTTGTGGAACCAACTTCCAGTTTCTGTCCATGAGGCTGACACATTGTCCAGTTTTAAGACTGGGATTAAGACTTTCCTTGTTGATAAATCCTATAGTTAGAGTTGGCTTGCTATTGCTGCTATAGTCTTCAACTACTGGAGGACAAATTGACCTAATTTCCTTAAATTAATTGTTAAAATTGAATAGTTTTCTTTTTTATATTATTTCTATTTTAACATGTGATTCTTGACCTGCCATTGTGTATCTGTTCCTCTCAAACCCAGCCGGTCGAAGCAGATGACCGCTTGTCCTGAGTCTGGCTCTGCTAAAGGTTTCTTCCTCATGATGGAGTTTTTCCTTTCCACTGTCGCCTTCATGCTTGCTCAAGATGAGAGTCTGCGATGGAGTTAAACTCAAAGCAGTCTGCTCCTCAGTCAAATAATGTTAATTATTTTTATATATGAATGTTTCTGTTCAGTGCCCTGTGATGACTTCTGTTGTGACTTGGTGCTATAAAAATAAACTGAATTGAAATAAACTGAAGTGAAAGAGCATTAACGTTCACATTTAACCTATTCTGATTAGTGTTTTGTATATTCTCATTGATGAACATGTATACACCAGTATATCTATACAAGGGTTAAGTGCATAGAGATTAGGAGCAGAGAAGTGGGCTCAAGCCTCTGCAGCTATTTTATAAATTATTCATGAAAATGGTCTAACTAGACATATATTGACATCAGCTTCACATATGGAAGAAAAAAAATTGCCCTGTTTCTTATGAAGGCTGTGCGTCTTTGACCAGTGGCTGGTTAAATATGTATGGCATATATATACTTGTATATACAGTAATATGATGTTTTGTGTTATATATAAATTCTATCACATATAGTGCTTTTTTTTCAATTTGTCAGAAAATATAACTGTCAGTACATTCAGAAAATTAGTAAAACATAATGAAAGACTAAACTGAGAGCGTGGTATCTCTTTCAGTCTCTTCTAAAGCTAAACCTATGGATTCAAAATAAAATCCTGCGTTTACAGCCAGATGACATGCCTTACCTCTCACAATGAGCTCTCCAAAGTTGGAGACAGCAGCTCCTCGGGGAGATAAGGTGATGCAGCGGTAGAGATCCTGCTTTCCACGATGGGCCTCCACCTGAAAAGTTGCCATCAGCCGCTTGTGGCTCAGCCGCGAGAGCAGGGAAGTGTTGAGCACCACGCCGTTTCTCCGCTGACAGTCAGACAAAGAGCACACAGAGGGAAATCCACTTGTTTACTTCAAGTCTATCAAAGTGAATAAAAGAGGGCAGTGAGCTGACAAAATGAGACAGGAGGAACAAAAGAAAGCTCTAATTTGCTACATGGGGAGGGCAGGATAATGAATATGTAATAAATGTCAGTGATAACAAGACTTTTTGCTGTGGACGCCTCGCAGCTTGTTGTTTTCATTCACCAGGACCGGAGCTGACGTCTCCTCAACTGATTGGCAACTGACTCAATCAACAGAGGAAATCTGAGGCCAGCGCTCAGACCGAGCACTTCCAGGTAAAAGATTCAATAACAACTCTCTCACAGAAGCAGCAGAATATTTCAGAAGCTGTCACCTGCTTCTGTTTTTTAGATGTAAGCAGGTCTGACATCCAACGTTTGAATTAGTTTAGGAGGACAACTACACTGCTGTTAGAAAAATATAATTATACAGTCACTGAACAGCTGGATGCTGCAGCCTAAGGCTAAAGATTAGGTGCATCTTTTTTTGGTACCTGAAATCTACTTTGAAAATGTTTGTCCTACTTTTAAAAGTTTTATTTTTTACACCGTTTATAAACGACACTTTTTAATCCATGTGCAGTTTGTTTTTGTCTGTGTGTGCATGTGTGAGCGTCAAGAGAAACATATCTCATGAATATGAATAACTGATTCCATTCGTCCACAACTGATTATCTTTTTGAGTCAATGCCATTCAAGGAACATCTAAGCAGCATGTTCAAACACAAAGCTACCGATACCTCAGCTAATTTACAGATACTGGGCCTAAATTTGACAGTGGTGGGATGTAACAAAGTACAAGTATTATGTTACTGTACTTAAGTACATTTGTCATGTATATGTACTTTACTTAAGTTGAGTTAAACCTGAGTACTTTCTACTTTTACTCCACTACATTTTACATTAAGTATCTGTACTTTCTACTACACTGCATTTCTATAATGCGCGGCTGTGGCTGAGTGGTTAGAGCAGTCGTCCTCCAATGCAAAAGTTGGGCGTTCAAATCCACCAACAGTCACATGCCGAAGTGTCGGTGGGCAAGACACTGAACCCTTCATTGCCTCTGATGTGTGTCCCATCGGTGTATGAATGTGATCTAAAAAGCTCTGATCAGTCTCTTTAGAATGATTTGTCCCATTAGCTTTGTAGAGATCTAGTAGAGTGCTGTATGAATGGATAAATGAGGCACAGATTGTAGTGTAAAGAGCTTTGAGTATCTTGATAAGATAGAACGGCGCTATATAAGTACAGTCAATTTACAGTCCATTTAATACGTTGCGTTACATGTTACATTCACGTTGCATTTTTAACAAAAATTTGTTCTTTAGTTTGAAAGTAACCATTGGCGAGAGGAGAGATGGCCCATTGAATCACTGCAAAGTGGACAGGCAACGTTTGACCCACCTTCAAGAAGAGCTGGTCCAATGATGTATATTGTAGTATATACGTCACTGAGCTGGGCGCAGCCACAGCACCGCTAACACACCCAAAATGGAATCCATCATGAAGAGTCAGCCAGATGATACACACCACCCATGACCTTTTTGAAAGACTATTGAAAGACTATTGAAAGATTATTGAAAGATTATTGAAAAATTATTGAAAGACTATTGAAAGATTATTGAAAGACTATTGAAAGACTATTGAACGACTATTGAACGACTATTGAAAGATTATTGAAAGACTATTGAAAGACCATTGAAAGACCATTGAAAGACTATTGAAAGACTATTGAAAGACTATTGAAAGACTATTGAAAGATTGTTGAAAGATTATTGAAAGACTATTGAAAGACTATTGAACGAGTATTGAAAGATTATTGAAAGACCATTGAAAGACTATTCAGTACAGCAGGACAGATTGTCTCTCCCAAAAGAGTCAGACTGGACTAAAAAAACTTTGAAAACCAACTTCTACTGAACTTGAACAAGAAATTCTTGCTGCAATATTAAAATGTGTCGGTTCATGGGATGTTATGAGACAAGAGATGTCTCCAAATAGCTCGACACTCGGGTCCAAGTTTTGAAAATGATGTCAGGAAGTTAAAATATTGTTCACTATTGACCCATTACAAGGTTGAATAGACAGTTTTTTAACTAGAGTTGATGACAAACTGAAGTTGAAATGATCAGAGTCTGTTCCTTTGTTAGTTCTAATGCTCCTTTTTTCAGGCAGAAAACTTTTAGTGAAATATGTTTACTGCAGGTAAAATGACACATTGGTTTACTTTGTGTTAAATAAAAACTTTCAAAGGTAAAATCATTCCTCTTTCTTATTTTGATTAATGGCATTTAACTCTGCATGTCATCCATGAATCACAAGTCCAAGTGTGAACTGTGTCACAGAGTAAACACAATAAAAACATGAATTATCTGCAGCATTGTTCATTAAAATGGCACAACGCTATTATTGTATTACAGAAAACATGCATAGGTAGGCACACTTAATGATATTGTAGACCATTGCATTAGGTAATACATTCAGCAAGTACTTTTACTTTTAATACTTTAAGTATTTTTAAAAGCAAGTACTTGCTTTTACTCAAGTTAAAATGTTAATGTGGTACTTCTACTTTTACTAGAGTACATTTTTGTCTGTTTATTCGTACTTTTACTTATGTACAGTATTTAAGTACTTTCTCCACCACTGAAATTTGGTGTGGTGAGTACCACATACTCAGTACATACTCTGACCACAAGCTGATCAGATCCAATCTACGACCAATGATTATTTTATGAATGTTTTAATAAAGTCTGTTCATGAGTTCATGAGAAATTTGGTTTTCTGTAAAGAAAAACACGCACATGCACACCAAGATGCAGATAAAAAATCATTATTGCCACTTGGCCTAGGGTGGTAATGACTCTTTCTCATGTTGATGATCTTCAAAGGCTTAAACACAAAGCTGGCTTTGAAATAAATATTGGCCAGGAACACAAGAGACGAATCTCCATGATTCCTGAGATCTCATTTGCAAAGCACCTTCTCTCTGCTGCAGTCATTTCAAAAGCCCTCAGATGTTCAGGCTTCAAGGCAGGATGAGTGCTGAGTCAGAGAAGCATTTCTGAAACCTAATATTAGCTCATATGCAGATGAGGGGAATTGCAACTCGTCAATTGCTGCAAAGAAGGAATAATTTGAGGCGAGTTATTAAACTAAAAGCCATGACAATCAGAAAACTAGAAAAGCAAAAATTACTAACTTCATAACCTGCAACTATGCAGGTACTGAAACACAACCTTACCGGCTAATCACGCTATTTAACACTTTTGCACACTAATTTAACATTAAAACTGGACATATTTTCATGGATGAAACAACAACATCTATTTTCTCTTGCAGCTACACAAACAGCTCTCAGTCACACACTTCTATTGTAGAATACCAGCCGATATTTATACAATATATTTCTTTTTTGGACTGTATTTGATTATGGTTAATCACTTTTTTCAGATTTGCACTGTATCACACGTTCTTCGTCTGTATGTACACATGCACATATATACACGCACAGTGCTATAAAAATATTCATCCTTTTGGTTGTTTTATGCTTTTATTGCTGTCATAAATCTGTCATTGTCATAAGATGGACATTTTAACAAAAATTAAAATAAAATCTAAAACCTTCAGTTTTAAGGTGAAATTTAAACTACAAAGTATATACATATATGTATATCGATGCAGCCAGGGGGCGGAGGGATTCCGGTTCAGTGGCCTCAGGATTCCACCTCTGCTCTTTGCAGATGATGCGGTCCTGTTGGTGTCATCGTGCCGTGATTTTCAGCTCTCACTGGAGCGGTTCGTAGTCGAGTGTGAAGCGGCTGGGATGAGAATCAGCACCTCCAAATCTGAGGCCATGGTCCTCAATTGGAAAAGGATGGATTGCTCTCTTCAAGTCGAGGGTGAGGTTCTGCCTCAAATGGAGGAGTTCAAGTATCTTGGAGTTTTGTTCACGAGTGAGGGATGAATGGAGTGTGAGATTGACAGACAGATTGGTGCAGCACCTGCAGTCTTGCAGACTCTGTGCCGGTCCATTGTGATGAAGAGAGAGCTGAGCTATAAGGCAAAGCTCTCTGTTTACCGGTCGGTCTATGTTTCTACCCTCACCTATGGTCACAAACTCTGTGTAGTGACCAAAAGAATGAGATCAAGGATACAGGCATTTGAAATGAGTTTCTTCCGCAGGGTAGCTGGACTCTCCCTTGGAGACAGGGTGAGAAGTTCATTTATCAGGAGAGACTCTGAGTAGAACCAATGCTCCTCCACATCGAGAGGAGCCAGTTGAGGTGGTTCAAGCATCTGGCAAGGATGCTCCCTGATCACCTCCCTATGGAGGTGCTTCGGGCATGTCCGACTGGGAGGAGACCCCTGGGCAGGACACACTAGAGAGACTACATCTCTCAGTTGTCCTGGGAACACCTTGGAGTCCTCCCAGAAGAGCTGGAAGAGGTGCCTATGTAAAGAGATGACTGAAGGTCCCTGCTCAAGCTGCTGCCCCCACGACCCTACTTCGGAACAAACAGAAGATCATGGATGGATGGATGGATGGATGGATGGATGGATGGATGGACGGATGGATGGATGGATGGATGATGGAAGGATGAAAATCTGAATAGGAAATTAACAAGAACAACCCATTTCCACACTCAGACACATTGCAAACAGTGAGAAACATTGCATACATAATTATTTCAAGGTTACCCAGCATCCTTTGCAGTGCACACTGTCTTTCTGGGAAGTGACTCTCTCACACATTTCACACATCTTTGCTTTAATCTGGGGAATACATATATTCATCTTTTAATTTTAACAACGTTTAATTATAAGAACTAAATTAGCGGAAACTTAAGTCGAAAGTCTGTGCACTTCTGCTGCAGTGATGCTGTCTTTTATTTTTCTCTCTAGTGGTGCAGGGAGCTCTGTCTCATCTGATGAATTAATTTCATTAGTTGTGATCGCCCGCTCATGTGATTTAACAACAACATACAGATGTATTACCGAGAGCATATTGATGATGACGCACAGCAACTTTGTAGTTAGTATAAAAAAATACTTAACCACAAAGAGGCTTTGCTAAAGTGATTCAATTCAATACAGTAAATGACATCAGGGAGATGTCTGACACATTTAACATATAACTACGCTTCAGCACAGCATAGTTCTGCTCCGCTTCTTTTGATTAGGCTGGATCACATTCATTTGTGAAAGCACACCTTTGAATGGAACATGGACACACACTTGTGATTTATGAACCGTTTTGAGTTATGTTCACTTATAACATTGTCACATTACCGTATTACTGTGCAGAGACAGCCGTGTAGGACAAAAGTTAAAATATAGCAGTTAGCATTCACTACTGCTATATTTCTCAACCTATTTAGCATATTAGCAGTTAGTGAAGCTACATTTTTCTTTAGTTGTGCCCGACACTGTACAGGAGCATGTTAAGGAACATCAGAGATCATCAACAACTTCAACCATAGAATCACTTCTCCAGGATCAGTGATGAGAGGTCGACCAGCAACTGTGTATAAAACTTTGATTGATGTGAGTCTTTAGTATAACACTACAGTATAATTATATAAAAGACTTGTACAAATTATTTTGTTGTGTTGTTGCCTTGTTATATCTTGCAGTCTTCAGTACCATTCACTAAATCAAGCTCTGAGACCTGGACCTGACTGACCAGGCAGAGAAAACAAAAATAAAGAACCCCCACCACCCCAAAGCCCCACCAAAGATGTCCACTCTTATTCTCACCTCCAGCATGAAGGGCTCCGTCTCAGAAACTTTGCCAGTGGCGACACACTGAAATGAGGCGTTCTGCCCAGCGTTCACCTCCACATCACCGAGCCGGGAGAAATGAGCCACCTTGTCTGTGGAGATTGGATACACAAGAAACACACAAAGACACACTGATGAAAGTGGCACATGTGGAATTCAGATCTGTTGTCTAAACATGTTTATTTCAGCTATGAAAAGTTTTAGTTTTTTAAAGCCTGCATAACATCTACACTCTCAGGCCCGGGTACAACTTAATAAATGATAGTATGTTACCCAGTAGACTAGAATATTTATTCTATTTGTTAGACTGAAATCATCCATCCATTATATTTACACTGGTGCCCATATCCAGCCATAACTGTTTGAGAGGTGGGGGACACCCTGGACAGGTCTCCAGTCCATCACAGGGACACATAGAGACAACGAGACCAACAACCTTTCACTCTCTCACTCACACCTAGAGACAATTTAGAGTTACCAACCAGCCTAACATGCATGTTTTTGGTCTGTGGGAGGAAACTGGAGTACCTGGAGAAAACCCACAGAGAGAAAATGCAAACTCCACCCAGAAAGACCCCTGGACTGAGATTTGAGCCAGGGCAACCTGAGGTGGCAGCTCTACCAACTGCGCATTTGTGTCTTATCAAATTTATTCTTCATTTATGTTTTTTCTGCCACGTCAGTCTTTGCTTGTTAACTAACAACGACTCGCCTGTGGGCCATTGTGACTGTTCAGGAAAATGGGGAATGTGGTAAAGATTTGAAAAATACAGTCCAGGCAGGATGGAGTGGATGGAGAAAAGTCTCAGAAGTTGTATGAGACAAAAGAGTGGCAGCAAAGAACAAAGGAAAAGTTAACAAGACAGTAAGACCAGCTTAGATAAGAGATGGAGTGAGGACAGAGGATGCAGAGGACAGAGTGAGATGGAGGATGGCTCACTGTGGTAACCCCTAAAGAGGGAAACGCCGAAAGAAGAAAAAGAAGATTTGGATATTGAGATCACAGAGGCCAGAGGAAGAGTGGAGACGCCCAGAATCCCCATTGATTGAAATCCAGTGTGAAGTTTCCACAGTAAGTGGTGCCATGTCATCTCTTAGTCCACTGCATTTTTTAGTTTTCAACCCAGGTAAATGGTTTCTAACATTGTCTCTGGTTCAGGACGAGACTCTGGGTTTTGGGTTTTCAATACTTGTAAGCCATAACTATCAAAATTACTTGAAAAAAGTCTTGAAATAATCCACTGTATTGTAATGCATCAATGCAATATATGATTATCAGTTTCTGAAGTGATTGCCAAAATATACTGAACTTTTTCACGATATCCTAATCTTTTCGATTTCGACGTGGCAACCCAATTTTTTTGATAGGGATATTTTTTATGACTAGATGCACCCACACACCAAAATAAAAGGCATCATGTTGCTTATCTTACAAGTCATCCAGCTAACAACGTTGACATATATACACAGCGTTTCCGCTACCAGTATACATGCGGGGCGCCCCGTCCCATCAACAGAACTGAGCGCCAAGCCTACCGAACTGAACTGCGTGCACTCTCCCCACACCCCAGCACTGACAAAGTGCAAATATAGCAGCACACAATACAGGCGCGCTAGCTAAAAAGCTAAATGCTGAGCCTCCCTCCTCCCTGCTCAAGAACTGTTGTCACAAACAGTGCACAGCTCAGATGTGAGAGAGTGGTGGCGCAGAGGTTAGAGAGGTGGGCTTGTGATCCGAAGATCGCCGGTTCACGCCCCGGCCCCGACAACATCAAAAATTGTGGGTGGGGTAGGTGAAACACCCACACTTGCCCCCACCCTCATTCGCCCCACTCTGGGCCCATGAGCAAGGCCCTTAACCCCACCATGTGCTCCCTAAACAGGTCTCTCTTGACAATGAGTTCTCGTGGCTCAATGAGACTACCTGGATAAATAAAGGCTAAATGAAAAATGTGTCTTTGTAACACACACACACACACACACCTCCCCGGAAACACTGATGCATATATGGTGACAGCCATCTTGGATTTTGATGTAGCGACTCAATTTTCATAAGGAATATTTCATACACTTAGAACATGCTCACAACATTCATGGATAAAAGGATGAATGAACAAACGGACGGTACGGTACAAACGGACAGAATGCCCTATTTTCACTTTGTGACTTGGGACAATTAAGCTACATCATTCTGGCAAAAGTTATATCATAGCCTTTCCACACAACTTTATCAATTTCCTATGTGAACATAACATGTAAAAAACATGCTAGCAAGTGTTAGGAATAAAATAACCTTTGATGATAAATTGTGGAAAATAACATAATATGGGTTGGTGAATATATTTAATTATGAATTATGAAATATAAATTTTATAAAGATGACTAAAATATCAGTTAGATGTGTAAACTAGGCCATAAGCCAATAAATAATATATTTTTAGTGACTGCTAACTTTAAAATCAACCATGACACTTTCTGCTGTCAGTAGGAAAATAGTTCCTTACTTCTAATAAGGCCTTCGTGAGAAACCAAACATCAAACTCAAAGGTTCTTGTTCAGTTAACAAAGATCAACTATAAAGTTAATGTATAGTTCACATCATTTGAGTGTGTGTGGGGATTATAAAATAATTAATAATGGTCAAAAAGCAGCTTAATATGTCAGAATGACCCTGGCTCTTAGAGGAGCAATGTAAAAAATAATGTACTAAGATACCAAGAAAATAATCAGAGTCTCACAGTCATTGTGAGATTATACGTTGTATATGTGGGTGCTTAAATTTGTCTAATGGAAAGATAGGAGTGTCTCACGTAATCTGTTTAAAGAGAAGACAGCTAATGAAGTGTGTCTGATTGATTGGATAAAAATGGGAAATGGGAGGGACTTCAGAGAGTCTGTAAGGTGTTTGATTGGATAGAAATTGAAAACAGGAAGTGTCACAGGGTGGAGAAACAGTTTATAAGGGTGGAAAGAGACCTGACACAGGCCGATAATGTACGGGGGGGGGGGGGGAATAATGTGAGGAATATACATATACTTTGTACAATTCTCTCTTGTTCAAACATTTTGAAGTCTGTAAGAAATAAAGATGTTGTTAATACTGACATAAGTGTGTGTTCCTGCCAAGCAACAACCCAGGCAGGATGGAAGGGGAAGGAGTCGTGTTTTCCCCAACACAAGTGAAATGCATGTTCTTCACGTTTATTGACACACATGGTAGTGTGGAGCAGAGGTTAGAGAAGATGGGCCTGTGATCGGAAAGTCGCACGTTCAACTCCCTGGACTGACAACATCAAAATGTGGGTGGGAAAGGTGAAACACCCACACCTGCCTCCACCCTCGTTTGCCCCACTCCGGGCTTTTGATCAAGGCCCTTAACCCCCACCAACTGCTCCAAATAAAACAGGTCTCTCTTAAAAATGAGTTCTTGTGACTCAATAAGACTACCTGTATGAATAAATAAATACTGGGTGATTTTGGAACATTTTCAAATGTTCCTGTGAACACGTGAAAAACATTAATTTTATGTGCTTTATTTCTTTAAGGGAGAATAATTTATTTGAAAAAAAATAAATAAATAAAGAGCACCTGCACTAAGCTGATCCTGAGGTGGAAATGGAAGATGAACTTTTCTGTGATGGTAAGATTTGACCGGCCCTCCATGTGTCCATAAACTAAATAATATTCCAGTGCTGTTTAGTTATTTTTCACAGTAACTGAGAATATTGTAGATTCTCTCCACTGTCTGCAGTCCTATACATGCTCTGTTCATCCCAGAAACCCAGAGAGAATAGATTTCTTCATGTGCAAATCTCCATCCATAAATAACTCATGTCACACATGCATCACATGTACTGTACAGACAGCTAGAGAGACATAAATATATTTTGGTGTGCTGCCAGATGGAATATTTTGCACCAACTTTCAAATAATCTCTACAAGTTAAATACTCAAAGCAGTAAATTGAGGATGAGTCAGTGGTATTAATATTTCCTGAGAAGTTTCCATTTGAAATCTAGCAATTTTGTAGCCCCAATATGTGACCTGTGGAGCTGTAATTGATACTGTTAACAATGAATAGGGCTAGATAAATTGAGTCTCAAATGTATCGTAGCTGTCTGGCATGTTTTGGTTCTTTAAATTAGTAATGCTGCCTCTTATTTCTGATGCACAAGTTATTGGCTTGGATTGAAATACGTGTCTGGAATAAAATCAGATTACAAGAGTGAATAATCACAAATGTGAAACAATTGGCTAAGGAAGCTGCTTTTAAAACAAATCTTTGCAAAATGAAAATAGATTGTTTTTGTTATGTTTTTTTCATTCATTCAACCTTTATTTATTCAGGTTAATCCCATTGAGCCTTGGGGACTCATTTACAAGAGACCTGATTTCTTTAACAAAGAGTGATGACAACAGTGGACAACAATGACAACAATAAACAATCATAAAAGAGGCATACATGTTTTTAACAAATTAAAATAAAATGGCAATCAAAAGGACAGTCAAAAGGAAAAAGTAGCGAAAACGTTTTTGTTATGTATGGTGGTTTACAAATGTCTTACATTTTTTGTGAATTCTGATTTAGATGTTAATTGGACTTTAATAAAAAAAAAGATTAAATGATGTAATCTGGACCAGTTTCTTTGTGAGAAACGTTTCATCCCCCATCCAGAGGACTTCCTCAGTCTACGGCCTGACAACCAGATCTGTCCCATGGGTAGCCTTCACTGCTGTGTTTCAAGCCAACCTCCTGCTGGAATATCAAAGATAGGCTTTTAACACGTGCAAAACACGCCCATCCAAAACAATCAATCATCATGTACAACAATCAAATGCTTTAGGCCAGGTGGACAACCTGCTGCTCACAGAAACAGTCTGAGGACACCAAGGCCAAAATGGTTCAGAAAAAGCGGTGTAAGGGTTGATGATTGATTGTCAGGGTGGAGTGCTCACTCATCGTATTATAGGTCTTTATTAAATATGTTTGGTTTGCCCAGTTGTAGTACAGTCTTTTGTCATCAAGTGGATTATTAAGGTCTTTATAATAAGTTGGAAAATATTACAACTTTTTTGAATAATGAAAAATTTA